GGATTGCACGCCGCAATAGACTTATTAAAAAGTCCATATTGGGGGATCGGATTGCACGCTGCAACAAACTTATTTAAAAGTCTCTATATATACTTGATTAAAATAAATATATTGTGGGAGCGGTTTGCACGCTGCAACAGAAATTGATTGAAATAATAATAATTTGTTATGACTGCTGAGTTGGCTTCAACTATTGGAAATGAGTTAACTGATTTAATTCTATTATTTTGGTTATTACTATTATTGCATACAGGTTAATGTAAGTGACCTGCCATAGCCTCGTCACTACTTCATCGAGGTTAGGCTCGACACTTACCAGTACATGGGGTCTGATGTACTGATACTACACTATGCACTTCTTGTGGAGATTTCAGAGTTGGTCCCAGCGGCGTACCATAGACTTGCACGGACTTCAGCTACCAGAGGAGACTTGAGGTATAACTGCACGGCGTCCGCAATTCTGAAGTCCCCGTCTACTTTACTTTAGCTGTGTGTTTGTTTTTAGACAGCTTTATTTTTATTCAGACCATTATTTGGATTATTCTAGAAGCTCGTGCACTTATGACACAAATTATGGGATGGTATTTAGAGACTAGTACTGGGTTGAGAAAGGGTGGGTTTTCCACTGAATAAAGATTTTTCTTTGGAGTCTTCTATTTGTCTAGAGACAACATGGAGGAGTTGATTGGTATAATTATTTTGTTCGATGACTCGATCGATGTCTGAACAAATAGCCATACTATTAGGTTTCTCGCTTTTGGTTTTGAAAGGAGAAGCAGAGATGACAGTATTGGATACTGGGATTTTTAGGGAGAGGAACAAATGGTCTAGCCATTTGAGGTTTACTGATCTCTTTTCCTTTGGAAGGAGTGTTAGGTCTGAAGGGCTTCATTTTTTTCCTGTAAACTCTTGTTAGAAAATCAGGTAAAGAGTTATTTTCTCCTTTAATAAAATCGATTTTAAAATCAAAGCTAGATAGTAGAGCTTGCCATCTAGAGAATATTTGTTTTGAAACAAGATTTTTGACATCCTTTTGAAGAATCACTTTAGCAGATTTACAATCTACTATTACTAAAAATTCTTTATTTACAAGATCGCCTTGAAATTTAGTAATACATAGCACTATAGACAAGACTTCTTTCTTAACAGTGGAATAGTTTTTCTGGGCGGAATTCCAGATTCCTGATGTAAAACGAACAAGCTGTTCAGGGGATTCTATGGTAATCCTTTGTTTAAGAATTCCTTCGTATCACACTATCCTTAAATGGATCAGATATCCCATTCCAAAGAAAAGGGATCTCTTGAAAAGAACTTACAAAGCTAATGTTTACAGTAAGTTCGATATGAAATCTGGTTTCTGGCAAATTCAAGTAGCCGAGAAAGACAGATACAAAACAACTTTCAACATTCCCTTCGGGCAATACGAATGGAATGTAATGCCATTTGGGCTCAAGAATGCCTCTTCTGAGTTCCAGAATATTATGAACTCAATCTTTAATGACTATAGTCATATGTCTATTGTTTATATTGATGATGTTCTTATTTTCTCCTAAAATATAGATTCTCATTTTAAGCATCTCAAAACTAAGATTGCTAAACTAGAAACTGATTTACAAAACTGGAACATTCCCAATGAACCTTTTAAAAAGATTTATGAATTAGGAAGTTTCAGTTTCATTAAGAAACATAATATTAAGACCTGTGAGTCCACTGTTGCTATTAATAATTCCTTAGAAATTATTAAACTATTTTCTGAACAAGATTTGAATAGATATAGACGTCAATTCAATTACTTGCATATTGGCCTTGTTCAAATAGCTGTTAAACCTCTCTTCAAAAAAGGTTTAGACGTGCCCATCTGCGTCCTTCTAAGAGATGCTCATCTCTTGAATTTCGATGACTCTCTCTTAGGAGTTCTTCAAAGTAACCTAGCCAATGGCCCGGTATACTTTAATTGCTACCCTAATTTCTCGATAGATATCAATGACCCTAATGTCATGGATACTTTGACTTTAAATGTCAAAACCAAGAATATGAATAGCAAAGCTAATACTCGAGAAATAGCTATTATTCATTCGAGTCTATTACAGACTTATGGACACTACTCTTGCACCTAGAGCTCGAGTTGAAAGTGTCAAAGGAGTCACTATGCTTATGGAAGCAAATACAGATCATAACACAGTATTTGTTCCTAGACTCCTTAATTGGAATGATATACTCTCAAGTGATGAATGACACTTTGATGCCATAACTCAACCCTCTACTTCGAATCTTGAAAGATCTCAAATTTAACAAGTGATTCAATTTCCTGATGGATCTATAGATCTTAAATTTTTAGGTTCAAGTTCCAATCTTTCGAGCAGAACTAGTTCCTTTAGAAAAAGGTCTGCAGTTCCTTCCGTACCTTCCTCTTCTAAACCCCCGGAGGAAAGTATAACTGAAAACGCAACTTCTGGTACCGATAAAGGGAAAGTTACGGGTGTAGATTTCTCCCATACAGTCCCAAAAGTTTATTACCAAAATCATCCCACTAGTCCAACCCCTAGCGATATGTATCCTCCTCAGGAAGATGTTCCTGAATTCCTTAAGACAATTAAGTCTGACGACCCTTACACTCTAAACCTCAGAGTTATCATATTCCCATCAAAATAGTTATTAGCAAACACTTTGTTATTAACAAAATTGCTTTACTTGACAGTGGTGCAGATCGTAACTGTATCATGAAAGGTATTGTTCCTACTCAGTATTTGGAAAAAAGTACTTCTAAACTATACTCCGCTATAGGAGAACAACTTCTATTAACTATAAGCTTTCTAAATCTCATATATATAATAATGGTATTTGTTTAACAAATGGTTTTCTTATTACTGAGGATATAAATGAAGATATCATCTTAGGAATTCCTTTTATCATTCAGATTAAACCCTTCATTACTGGCTTAGACGGTATCTCTACTCACATATTAGGAAAAGAATTACATTTTCCTTTTGTCAAAACTCTTTCACAAGATGAAAATAATTTTATTAGAAAAAATACTATTTTTCGTATTAACAAACTTTCTCAGCATGTCACCTTTTTAAAGGATGAAATAAAAATTAAGAAAATCAAGCAGATTTTAAAAACCCCGGAGTAAATATCCATACCTTTTCTCCAGCTCAGGTACTTTTTCTAACTCCGTTCGAGGACGAACGTTTGTTTTAGAGGTGGAGAATGTGATGATCCAAAAATGTCATCTTTAAAGTTAATTATTAATTACGTGTTCTAAGACCCTGAAAAGAACTATTTGTTATTCCTCGAATTGTGTGCGTAGTTCGTAAAATTTTCTGGAAAGTTTTTATATGAACTGGGATATCTCGGTTGAGTGCCGATCGCGCTCCCCGAGGTCGGGCATGACATTAGTATAGCAATGGCTTGGACTAGTATTGTCGTAAGATGATTGGTTTCTTTGGTATAATCGTGTATCACATACACTTTTATGGTGGGACTTTGGGTTTGACAGTCTATATGACTTGGTTGACTTGATGGGTACAAATATACCATAAACTCCATGAAATGGGAGTTTGCATCACAGCCTACAAAATAAGAGGTTCCTCTGATAAGGAAGCAGCCTCTATGATTGTAGCTGGATTCACAGGCATGTTAAAACATTGGTGGGATAACTATTTCACCGAAGATGTTAGACAAGCCATATACTCTGCTACGGCCATCGAAACTGTAGTTAAAACTGAGGGTACTGCCATGGAAACTACCTCTCAGGTAACTAGAGAAGACACTTGCGCTACACGTCTCTACTTGGTATCAGAGCCATGTTGGCAGTATACGTACTTAGTATAAGCAGCTAAGTACATATACTGTCTAGGACATGACAAAATTACTTTCAATTATGATATTTTAAACTTTATTTATGCTCTTATCTACCTTTTATACTGTTCTTTAAACTCTTGTTCTTAAGATGCTTCTAAGTTATGTATGGGGTATTTATTTTCTCTATAAGTATGAGGTAACCGATTAATATCCGGTTCAGACGTTGTCTAGCCTGAAACAAATAGGTCGCTGTTGCCGAGGTAGGCGTTTAGACCTTGCTAGGTGATCCCGTCGCTAAGATGACTTTAGAGAAAACAAATATAAACCAAGAAGACTCTACTAGGAAGCCACTAGATCTAAGAAGTTAAGGTACATTATCTGTTAGATATATGCATATTTACTGTTTACTATTACATATTGAATAGTTATTTTAGCCCTATAAGCCCCTAGACTGTATTTTCAAAGTATAAATTCCAACCAGCATATTTTAAACAATGTTAATTTATCTTCTCAAGCAACTAAGATTGCTAAACTGGAAACTGATTTACAAATTTGGAACATTCCCAATGAACCTTTTAAAAAGATTTATGAATTAGGAAGTTTCAGTTTCGTTAAGAAACATAATATTAAGACCTGTGAGTCCACTGTTGCTATTAATAATTCCTTAGAAATTATTAAACTATTTTCTGAACAAGATTTGAATAGATATAGACGTCAATTCAATTACTTGCAGATTGGCCTTGTTCAAATAGCTGTTAAACCTCTCTTCAGAAAAGGTTTAGACGTGCCCATCTGCGTCCTTCTAAGAGATGCTCGTCTTTTGAATTTCGACGACTCTCTCTTAGGAGTTCTTCAAAGTAACCTAGCCAATGACCCGGTATACTTTAATTGCTACCCTAATTTCTCGGTAGATATCAATGACCCTAACGTCATGGATACTTTGACTTTAAATGTCAAAACCAAGAATATGAATAGCAAAGTTAACACTCGAGAAATAGCTATTATTCATCGAGTCTATTACAGACTTATGGACACTACTCTTGCACCTAGAGCTCGAGTTGAAAGTGTCAAAGGAGTCACTATGCTTATGGAAGCAAATACATATCATAGCACAGTATTTGTTCCTAGACTCCTTAATTGGAATGATATACTCTCAAGTGATGAATGGCACTTTGATGCCATAACTCAACCCTCTACTTCGAATCTTGAAAAATCTCAAATTGAACAAGTGATTCAATTTCCTGATGGATCTATAGATCTTAAATTTTTAGGTTCAAGTTCTAATCTTTCGAGCAGAACTAGTTCCTTTAGAAAAAGGTCTGCTGTTCCTTCCGTACCTTCCTCTTCTAAACCCCCGGAGGAAAGTATAACTGAAAACGCAACTTCTGGTAACGATAAAGGGAAAGTTACGGGAGTAGATATCTCCCATACAACCCCAAAAGTTTATTACCAAAATCATCCCGCTAGTCCAACCCCTAGCGATATGTATCCTCCTCAGGAAGATGTTCCTGAATTCCTTAAGACAATTAAGTCTGACGACCCTTACACTCTAAACCTCAGAGATCATCAATCGTCTCTGGACCCATCCTGACAATATACCTAAAAGAAAATGGTATGTTGCTATTATTCTCTTAAACAAAGAGAAGATTTCAGGGACTGTTGGATGTCGGACATGAGAAGAATAAGATGTGAAATCGATTTCTTCAGATGGTTCGAAATATCCGGCAAATTTAAAAGCCAAAAGGATTGTTTATAGGTCCTTATCAATAAATGGTACTCTACTAACAACAAAGTTGTTGAGTCCGTTACTCCTCCTCTAGAAGGAATAAAAATCCCAGTATCCAATACTGTCATCTCTGCTTCTCCTTTCAAAACCAAAAGCGAGAAACCTAATAGTATGGTTGTTTGTTCAAACATCGATCGAGTCATCGAACAAAACAATTATACCAATCAACTCCTCCATGTTGTCTCTAGACAAATAGAAGGCTCCAAAGAAAAATCTTTATTCAATGGAAAACCCACCCTTTCTCAACCCAGTACTACTCAGAATATTGAGTCAAACCCAGGATTTAAAATTACTGAATTCTCCAAAGATAAGTACCTAAAACTCAAAGACACTTTTGAAGTCTCTGGTAACATCCTTCACAAGATCAACAAACAATTAGCTAGTTTTAGCATTTCCAAAGAAGTACCCAAAGAAGGAAAAATATCCACTATCCAAGAAAAGGAAGCCCTTCTTCACAAACTCTCCAATGACCGTTTTCATAATTACAAAAATTATCATAAGCGTCCTTCCTTTCCTGATATCCAATATGAAGAAAATCATTTCCTTGCTTCTACTTCTCACGAAGGAAGAAGCATAATCGAATGGAATATAGATGCTTTGGCAGAGCATCAAATATACCATAAACTCCATGAAAAGGGAGTTTGCATCACAACCTACAAAATAAGAGGTTCCTCTGATAAGGAAGTAGCCTCTATGATTATAGCTGGATTCACCGGCATGTTGAAACATTGGTGGGATAACTATTTCACCAAAGATGTTAGACAAGCCATATACTCTGCTACAGCCATCGAAAATGTAGTTAAAACTAAGGGTACTGCCATGGAAACTACCTCTCAGGTAACTAGAGAAGACGCTTGCGCTACACTTCTCTACTAAATAGCCAAACACTTCATCGGAGAACGAAAACTCTTCCAAGATAGATGTTTACAAATCCTAAACAACCTATCTTGCCCATCTCTAGAT